ATCAGTTTGGGGATGCTATCATCTTAACAATATTAAGTCTTTAGGCCCATGAACATGAGTGTTTTTAAATGTAGATCTTTAATTTCTTTCAACAGTGTTTTATAATTTTCAAAATATAAGTTTTGCTCTTCACAGTAAATTTATACTCAAGTATTACTCTTTTTGGTGCTATTATAAAAGGATTTTTAAAATTTTGTTTTTTGTTTTTGGATTGTTTATTGCTAGTGTATAGAACTTCAGTTTTTGTATATTTGATCTTATATCTTGCAGCCTTGCTGAACTTGTTTATTAGCTCTAATAGCCTTTTTAGCAGATTCCTTAGGATTTTCTATATAAAAAATCACCTCATGTGCAAGTCAGATATTTTTACTTCTTCCTTTCTAATCAAATTATTAATTCAAAGTCTTCATTTGTTATAGGTCTATTCGGGTATTCTGTTTCTTTTTAAGGTTGGTTTTAGAAATTGTGTCTTTCGGCCGGATGCCGAATCTGTAATCCCAGCACTTTGGGAGGCCGAGGCGGCGGATCACGAGGTCAGGAGATCATAAGCATCCTGGCTAACATGGTGAAACCCCATCTCTACTAAAAATACAACAAATTAGCCTTGTGTGGTGGCAGGTGCCTGTAGTCCCAGCTATTGGGGAGGCTGAGGCAGGAGAATGGCATGAACCCGGGAAGCGGAGCTTGCAGTGAGCAGAGATCGCACCACTGCACTCCAGCCTGGGCGACAGAGCGAGACTCCATCTCAAAAAAAAAAAAAAAGAAATTGTGTCTTTCTTGGAATTTGTTCATTTTATCTAATTTAATTTGTTGACATACAAAGGCTTATAGCATTTCCTTATAATATTTTTTATTCCTGTAAAATATTTAGTGGTGTCCCTTCTTTCTTTCCTGATAGTCATTTTGAGTCTTTTTTTTATTGCTCAGTCTACCTAAGGATGGCTAATTTTGTTGATCATCTTAAAGAGCCAACTTTTGAGTTCATTGATTTTTTTTCTCTATTGTTTTTCTCTTCTATTTTATTTATTTCCACTGTAGTCTTTATTATTTTCTTTTCTTTCTTCTGCTTGCTTTGAATTTAGTTGCTTTTTTTTTTTTTTTTTTTTTGGAGACAGGGTCTCACTGTGTCACCCAGGCTGGAGTGCAATGGCACAGTCATGGCTCACTGCAGCCTGGAACTCCCAGGCTCAAGTGATCCTCCCATCTTAGCCTCCCCAAGTAGCTGGGACCACTGGTGTGCACCATCACACCCAGCTGGTTTTTTTCTTTTTGTAGAGATGGGGTCTCACTGTATTGCCTAGGGTGGTCTCGAACTCCTGGGCTCAAGCAGTTTTTCTACCTTGGCCTCCGCAAGTACTAGAATTACAGGTATGAATCACTGTGCCAGTTTTGTAAGGTGGAGGGTTTGGTTATTGGTATGAAATCTTTTTTAAAACTTTTTTTTCTTTCATTCTCAAAGGAAGTGAATGAAATCTTTTTTAATAGAGGCATTCAGATCTGTAAATTTCCCAATGAGCACTGCTTTACTTATAGGCCACATTTTCATTCATTCTCTCTTTTTATTTTCATTTTTTATTTTCATTCATCTCTAAGTATTTTCTCATTTCCCTTGAGATTTATTCTTTGACCCACTGGTAATTTAGGAGTATATGGTTACATTTTCACACATTTGTGAATTACCCAAATTTTCTTTCATTGATTTCTACTTTCATTCCATTGTGGATAAAAAATATACGTTGCGTGATTTCAGATCGTTTAAATTTATCAAGGCTTGTTTTATGGTCTGTCCTGGAAGTTGTTTCACATATGCTTGAGAAGAATGTGTTTTTGCTACTGTAAGATAGAGTATTCTGTAGATGTCAGGTAGGTCTGGTTGTCATATTATTGTTCAAGTCTTCTGTTTCCTTGTTGATATTTTCTAGTTGTTCTGTCCATTATTGAAAGTGGGATATTAAAATCTTCAACTATTATTGAGGAAATGTCTGTTTCTGCCTTCAGTTCTGTCTTTGTTTTGCATCATGTATTTTGGGGCTCTGTTTTTGGGTGCATATATGTTTGTAATTTTCATCTTTTCCTGTTAGATTGACCTTGTATCATTTGAAATATCTGTATCTCTAACATTTTTTGTTTTAAAGTCTTATTTTAATATAGCCACTGTAGCTCTTTTGGTTTCTATTTTATGGTACTTGTTTCCATTCCTTTGACTTCAACTTTATCTGTGTCTTTGAATCCAAAAATATATTGTTGGTTGTTGTTTGCTTGTTCATTTGTTTATTTTCTAGCAACTTGGTCTCCCCACAGTAATTAGCCTCTGATCTCCCTGCTCAGATTTTTTAAAAATTGTTTTTCTTTTAGCCTGGCTAATGAGGGGTCTTCCCTGGATTATCACATACTTATTGGTCAAAATTTGTGCTTAGTCCTCCTTACCAGTTTGATTTTTTTTTCCCCCTTACCATTTGATTTTTATCATTTACTGTGGGATGTGTGTGGCTTGCAGACTGCTATCACAGTTGAGAGTGTGTTTGTTTTTTTGTCCCACATTCACCAGGAGACTAATAGCTTGAAGGTTCACTCCTGATTACTCCAAAGAGGGTACAGCTTTGGGTATGCACACAGTCTTCCAGACTGCAAGGAATGACTGGATGTTATTTTTAAGTCTTAGCTTCCCAGGGGTCGACCCTGAGTTCAGGTTATTCAGTGCCAGTGAGGATTTACCTTGTTTTGATAAGTCTTTGTGTGACTTGGGGAATGCTTTCATGTCTGTCCATCCTACATCTTACTCTAATTGTTCCTTATTGGGTGAAGCCTAGTGCATGTGCACAGGGTTTTTGACCTCCAAAATTGACTGTGATTCCCCAAAGGGTCCTTCTTGGCTGTCTCATTTCCTGATTCTGTTAAAGTTCTGGCTGTTTTGCTTGTCATAGGGCTGCCAGCTTCTCTTAATTGCTTTCTTCCAAGCTCTGTTGCAAATAATGTCAGCCCTTTCCGGCAGAACTGCTGCAGAGTTCTTTGTCCTTATAACCTACTTTTCACCCTGGGCAAAACCTATCTCTCACTACACCTGACCTGGGGTCACGGATCAGCTTTTCCTGGAGTGACAGGGTCACTCTACAAGTCAGCACCTGGAAGGAGTTGGCAGTCCCTGGTCTTAGCTCGCTCTCCTGGCAGAATCTCTACCCTGTGAGCAAGCTAGAATGGAGAAGATTGAGACCCTCAACGTTTTGCTCCTGGAGCTTCTGCCCTAAGAGAGGGAGGGAAGGAGAGGAGACCTGGTTCTTTCAGCCACACCTATCTAAAATAGATCTTCTGTAACATGGGGCTGGAGAAGGATGAGAAATGCCTCTAGTAACCTGTCTCTTCCATGGGGAAGCCATAGCTCCAGATTGGAAGCTGGAGAGAGAGGGAACCTCTGTCTTCTAGGCCTGAATAGGATGCCCAGGGCAAAACTTCTGCAACATTGAACTGAGGGAGTGGGGCAAGGAAACAAGTTGTAATTCATATATCAAAAGCTCTGTGTTGTTACTGAGATTTACTGAGTTTTCTTGAATGAATGTTTCCCTGTTTGCTCTATGACTTTAGGACAGTATACAGGGACTTTAAATAATGTTTTTAATTTTTTCAACAGATAAGCTATGTTTTGCTTGGGAGAGAGGCTGTGTAGATCCTTATTCTGCAGATTTGGAAGTCTCCCCATCCTCACATCATATTTTACTGCTTACACTAGCATATCCTGATGACACATCTGATACACTGAAAGTTTGCCTATGTGCTCATCATCTAAAGTAAAATATTCCATTATTGAAAGCAGCTGAAACATCTTTCTTGCTGATATTGAACCTACTATCATGATTTGGTAACTTGCTCCAGATGTGTGGGAAAATTCGGTTGTCAGACTCCATTTTTTAAAGAACTTTAATTCTTATTTACTTGTTGTTGTTGTTGTTGCAGGGTTTTTGTTTTTTTTTTTTTTAATTCCTACATGATATAGTAGTGAAAACTTTACTAATGGTCTTAAAGTTTTTTAACCCAAGCTTTGTTAAATAAATGTAGCAGGACTTAGTTAGTTTGGAAAGCCAAATTGCAAAGCTAAATTTCAAACAAGAAATGTGCTTTTATGAACACTTTTAATTTTAGAGAGAACTAAAAATAAAATGTCTAAGAACTTGGCTGTTACTCCATACAGTTTTATATTTGTAAACAAACTGCATAACTATGCTTTCATCAACGTTGGACCACATACACGACAGTAGTCTCATAAGATTAGAATACCTTGTTTTTGCTGCACCCTTTTTGTTTATGTGTATTTATATACACAAACACTTAACAATATGTTACAATTGCCTACAGTATTCCTACAGTAACATGTTGTACAGATTTGTAGCTTAGCAACAATAGGCTATACCTGATAGCCAAGGTTGTGTAGTAGTCTGTACCATCTAGGTTTATGTGAGTACATCTATAATGTTCATACAGTAACAGAATTGCCTAAAGACACATTTCTCAGAATGTATCCCTGTTGTTAAACAACACTTAACTGTGGGTGTTTCTTCTACATTGTAAGTACTTTGAAGGACTGGATCCTTTCTCACTCATCTCTGTACTCCTACCTAGTTCTAAAATGTAGTCCCTTCAACCATGGGATTCGGCTACATTGCAAAACAGACAATTCTTGAGATGCTTTATGTATTCACACCTATGTGTCCTTCCTGATGCTCTTTCTCTTCATTTGTCGAATCTTTCTTACCTTCATCTAACTCAATTTTATCTTCTTTAAGTTTCTGTTTCTGCAGTCAAAAATGATCATGCTTGTCTTTGATTCCAATGGCAATTTTGTAGTAATTTTTTACTTACGTTGCATTTATATCTCCTCCTGTAGACTCTAAGATCTAATCCTTTTTAATCTTTTTATTGCTACATACTTTGTACATAGAACTTAATTGTTGGATGAATGAGTAGATAAAATGGTGATTAAACGAGTGGTGTAATCTTTTGTTTTATAGCCGAGAGACACACAAGATTGCAGTATTTTATGTTGCTGAAGGACAAGAAGACAAACACTCCATTCTCACCAATACAGGAGGAAGTCAAGCATATGAAGATTTTGTAGCTGGTCTTGGTTGGGAGGTATTATTTTTAAATTATACGAAATATTTATATTTGGAAGCATAAGGTTTTTTTCTTTTTTTTTTTCCTAGCTTATTATAGAAGTATTATTTTAGGAGATACAACAGCTTAACAACTAATTTGTTATTGTTTCTGCCTTCCATTTTGTCTGCACATACAGCAGCAGTTGGGACTTTGAAAGGAAAGGTGTTGACTATTTTATGAGACAGTATATTGTGAAAGAGTACTAAACTCATAGCTTTATAAGATCTGGATTTTCCTTACAGCTGTGACCACTGGACTGGTGGTCTTCAAACTAGGACCTTATGGCTACACAAAGGCTTTCCAGGAATATGTGGGTATACATAGTTTTGAGGAAATTAGCTTCCAGATCCTCAAGTTTACCAAAACTAATGCCAGAAAACCCTTCTGCAGTCTCTTGTCTCTCATTTACTTTGTAAAAGAAAGGCATACTACTCACCCACCCCAAATCGTACAGTGTCCCAGAGGGTTTTAGCACCAACAAAATAGACAGTTCTAGTGGGTATACTTTTAGGAGAAAGTCCCTGCCAGCAAAACAAGAAATTTTGAAAGGTGTTATACTTTATGTCATTCAAGAAACCAACCCATGTCAAGATTCCTGTACCAAATCTGTCTATCTTAGAATTATAACTCAGAAGGTAGGTATTTGTCATAAGGATTTGGATGAATATGTTTATTTGAATTGAAAAATGAAGTATCAGACATGTTCTAGAACAGGAAGTAAATCTGATGTGGCTGATTGGCTTGTGATCAATTTAATACCAGACACTTTGCATATATTGAATCAGCCAAATCTGTAGCCCCAAGATTTTGATGAAAATATATTTAAAGCACATATATTTATTATATAGTATACTGGAAATTGTATCCTTGGCAACCATTTAAATTTTTTATGAAAATTTTTATTATAGTTTTCAATTTAATAGTTTCCCAAAATTGCTGTAGAGAGTATATGAGCAAAATTGTTAAAGAGCACTGCATTAGACTATAAGCTTGTAGAGGGCAGGCACTTTTATCTCAGTGATTTTTCTTTTTTTTAAAATTCCCAGTGCCTTTCACAGTGTCTGATATGTAAGCCTTTAGTGTTTTGTATATATATTTTATGGCTAATCTAACCTATTTTTTTATGATTTTTTCCTTGGGATACATAGCTTATTTATAAATGTGTAGTTTTATTTCAAAATATGTGAGTTTTTTCTAGATGTCGTTATTGATACCTAATTCTATCCCATTGTGATTACAGAATATACTCTGTAAGATTTCAGTATTTTGAAATATAATGTATCTCAGTTTAGGTACCCTATTCCCTTGAAAAAAAATGTGTATATTCTGTAGTTATTGAGTGTAATGAACTAGGTATGTCAGTTAGGTCAAGGTGGTTGTTGGTAGTATTTAAATCAGTATGTTTTTACTGACTTCATTTCTTTTAAAAATTTTTATTGCTACATAATAATTGTACATATTTATGTGGAACATATAATTTTGATAAGTGCATACAATGTGTAGTGATCAGTTGAGGATATTTAGGATACCCATCACTTCAAACATTTATCATTTGTGTTGGAAACATTTCAAATCTCCTCTTCTAACTATTTTGAAATAAACAACATTTTGTTGTTAACTATAGTCATGCTAATGTACTATTGAACTGTAGGGCTTATTCCTTCTATCTCACTATATGTTTTGTCTTCGTTAGCCAGCGTATCTTCATCTCCACACCACAACCACCACCTTCACCAGCCTCTGGTAACTGTCATTCTATTTGTTACCTCCATGAGATCAACTTTTTTAGCTCCCACATCTGAGTGAGAACATGTAATGTTTGTCTTTCTGTGTCTGGTTTATTTGTCTTAACATAATGACCTCCAATTCCATCCATGCTTCTGCAAATGATAGGATTCCATTCCTTTTTATGACTGAATAGTATTGCATTGTGATACATACCACATTTTCTTTATTCAGTCATCTGTTGATGGATATTTAGGTTGTTTCCATATCTTGGCTGTTGTGAGTAAAGCTGCAATAAATATGGCAGTGCAGGTATCGCTTTGATATACTGATTTCCTTTTCTTTGAATAAATACCCAGTAGTGGGATTTATGGATCGTATTAACCTGCTGTTTTACCTTAAGTGAGTTATTTAAGCTCTGTATGCCTCTTTACTTATTTGTCAAAGGTAATATACTTTTTTACCCAACAGAGGTGATGTGAAGTTCAATTGAGCTTATATATGTGAAAATGCTTTGAAAAGTACAAAAAAAAAAACCCTAAGTAGATTTTCTGTTAAAATGTAAAATACCATAAAAGTATTAGTAAAAGTAAGGGAGACATGAAAAAGAACAAGTTAGGAATATTTACACTTTTTGATTTCAAAACTTAATACAGAGCAATGCTAATCAAGATAGTGTGGATAGATCCTGGGGCAGAACTTAGGAAAAAAAAAAAAGAAGATAGTGTAGTACTGCTGGTACAAGGATAGACATATAGATCAATGGAATAGAATTGAGAGTCCAGAAATAAATCCCATATTTGTGGTCAGCCGTTTTTGACAAGGGTGCCACAACCATCCAATGGAGAAAGAATAGTCTTTTCAACAAATGGTGCTGAGACTATGAGCCATATGCAAAGAATGAAGCCAGACTCTTACCCCATACCATGTACAAAAATTAACTCCAAATGGATCACGGACCTAAATGTAAGACCTAGAATTTTAAAACTTCAGAAGAAAATATAGGAGTAAATCCTCGTGATCTTGGATTTTGCAAAGGATTTTTAGATAAGACACAAAGCATGAGCAACAAAGACAGAACCAGATAATTGTACTTTATTAAAATTAAAATTTTTGTGCTTCAAGGTGAAGTCTGATAAGAGACTAGTATCTAGAATATACAAACAAGTTATACAAATCAATGATTAGAAGATACTCAACTAAAAAATGGTCAAAGGACCTAAATAGACATTTCTCCACAAAAGATATATAAATGACCAATAAACACATGAAAAGATGCTCAACATCCTTTGCTATCGGGGAAATGCAAATCAAAACCATAGTAGGTATCACTTCACACCCATTAAGATAACTACAATCGGTATTGCGGCGGAACAAGATGGCTGAATAGGAACAGCTCCAGTCTCCAACTCCCAGCGCGAGCGACACAGAAGACTGGTGATTTCTGCATTTTCAACTGAGGTACTGGGTTCATCTCACTAGGGAGTGCCGGACAATCAGTGCCTGGCTCAGCTGCTGCAGCGCGACCATGCGAGGGCTGGCAGGGCGGAGGCAATACGCCTCACCTGGAGCGGCAGAGGAGCAAAAGGAATCCCTTTTCCTAGCCAGGGGACTGAAACACAACACTGAAATCAGGTAACTCACCCATCGGGCTTTAAGCAAACAGGGACCAGGCGATTATATCGCCACACCTGGCCGGAGGGTCCACGCGGCCCCACAGAGCCACCCTCATTGCATAGCACCAGCAGTCTTGCACTAACGCTGAAGGTGCAGTGAGGCTGTTGGGGAGGAGTGCGCCATTGGCTGACAGTATAAAGGTAAAGCAAGCCGCTGCGAGCTCGCTGGGTGGAGCTCACAGCAGTAAGGAACCTACCTATCTTCTGTAGACGTTCACCTCTGGGGACAGGGCACAGTTAAACAACAAAAAAGCAGCGAAACCTCTGCAGATGGAACGACTCTGCTTACACACTTCTGTGACGCTTTGAAGGAGAGCAGTAGATTCCATACACGCGTAGGTTGAGATCAGTCGCAAGGGAGCAGACTGCCTGCTCACAGTGGGTCCCGTACCTCTGAGTAGCTAACTGGGATAATTCCCACTAGGGGCCAGTCTGACACCCCAACCCTCCACAGGGGGGAGATAACCCCTGAGAGGAAGCCCCAGCATAAGAATCAGGACAGTGTAACCTCGCTGTTCAGCGAATATTCTATCTTCTGCGCCTCTGCTGGGCTGACCCCAGGCAAACAGCGTCTGAGAGGGCCTCAAGCAACTCTCCAACAGACCTACAAGCTAAGGGTTCCTGAATTACTCCACTGTTAAGAGGAAAACTATCAAACAGTTGAGTTGACATACTTACGTACACCAATCACCCATCAGACGTCACCAAGAACATTCTCAGACCAGAGGCAGATAAAACACAACGATGGGGAAAAATGCCGGGCACGATAATAGTGGAATTCAATGAAACAAGTTATGTCCACATCTCCCCGGCAAAGGGCGGCAGCTCATCGGCCAGCAACGTGATATCAAAGCTGGACGGAGTTCAAGTGAATGTATTTGAACGAGATAGAGAAGAAGGCTTCAGTCCATCACTTCTCATGATGCTAAGGGCTAAGGAATTACGTACCTCAGTGCATATACGTACTCTCCTTCGACAAAAGACCACTAGGAAAGATTTTGAATGGCTAGAGTAAATCAATTGAGGGAATGGTCATAACAGCCAAATGGAACGAGATTGAAAACCATGACCGAGAACTACGTGACAAATGCACAAGCTTTTCAGTAAAATGTCATGCATCCCAATCACTCCCGCACTCGCATCAACTGGCGGGTAAGAGGTATCAGCGATTGAGACAATGAACGGAAATGAAGGGAAGGAGAAACCAAGAAACCAAGAAGGAAAAAAGCGCAAATGAACAAAGCTCTGCAAGAAAGTATTGGGATTAGTCAAATACCAAATTCCTACGTCTGATTGGGTGCGTGCTGAAGTGAGGGGGAACAAATGGATACCATGTTGGAAGCACTCTTCAGGATATCATCCAGGAACTTCCCAACCTAGTAGGGCAGCGCCAACATTCGAATTCAGGAGAATACAGGAGAACGCCACAAAGATACTCCTCGCGAAGAGCAACTCTCCAAGACACATGATAATTGCCAGCTTCCCAAAGTTTGCTCATGAGGAAAAAATCTTAAAGGCAGCCGGCAGAGAAGTTGGGTTACCTCACAAAGGGAAGCCCATGAGGACTACAGAGGG